AGCTCTTAACCAACTGAGCCACTCAGCCGGCCCAAGCACGGTCATTTTTAAGCGGTCCTGAATCATGCCTCCCACCAGATAACAGAATATACCCATCCTGACCCACCTTGGCCATCAGATCCCTCTCTCTCCTTTCTGCATTTCTCCGTAGAGCTGAGAGTTCCAAAATTTCCTTATTTAGAAATTTATTCTGCGTTTTATAACCCTGTAGATTATCCTGTTGAAAAAAAAAATCATCAATTCACATTGGTTGAATGTTGACTAATTATTGACATAATTAAGATTTTGCTGTCTCACCAAACAGCCCTGCTAAGTTACAGCGCGCTCTGAGGAACTGAAAGCTGATTACCAGGCACTTTCTGATCAATCTTTGGGGCCACCCTTGGCAGTACAGGCAGGCAGGGACTAGTGTGTGACAAAGGAGATGGGGAAATGAATTTATTTAATGGTGATTTTCCTCAACTGAGCACTGAGGGGCAAGGCGCAGCCTCTGTAGGTTATGTGGAAGAGTGAACCTCTATAGGTGTATAGAGAAAGAAAGACGTCCCAGCGCCTGAAAGCGAGGCAGGGGAGTGAGCTGGAACCGGCGGGCCAATGGCAGCATCGCTGACTGCCTCCCATGGTCCAAGGAAGCTCTGTGCAGACCAGCAGCATCTGACCGCATGGCCTGTCCGGCACAGCTGCTCTGCTGTCACACCATGAACTCAGAGGCCACTAGCCCCAGAGTGACACCAACGGGCAGGGGCTATGAGGCGTTTAGGACTTAGCCCCAGTCATCAGAGCCCATAGCCTGCACTTACCTTCAGCCTGTCCAGCTCCAGCTGGTCCCTGGCGGCGGGCGCAGCCGTGGGTGAGCTGGGCACCTGGGTGGGAGAGGCCGCGTCACCCTCACACTGGCTGAGCTGCCGGGACAGCTTAATGATGACCTCGTCCTTGGCCTGGATGGTCTCCATCAGCATGCCCAGCTGCTCGTTGAGCTCGCCCACTTTGCTCTTCAGCATCCTCACTTCCTGCTGAAGGCTCTCCTTCTCCAGGTTGAACCTCTCGAGCTGGCTGGCGAGGCCCAGGATCTGGTCATCTTTCTGGTGGAGGAGCTCAAGCCTGTCCTCGGGGAGCCCCTCGCAGAGCCGGCTGCTTGTGAAATACTTGTCATACTGGGACGACCGCACCGTCTGCTGCAGCAGCCGCACAAGCTCCTGGGGGATGGACAGGGAAACAGAAGGTGACAACTCAGCAAGGAGCGGCCACTGGAACCTGAGCAAATGCAGACTTTACTGGAAACGTTTTAATAGCAAACATCCTCTTGAAGAATCTCAGAAATAAAGAGGAGAAAAAAACGTGCTCCATACAGGCTGTTGGTAGAGAACAGTCGTAGGAAACAGGAAATCATGAGCACACATGCTTCAGCTTGCAGTGTTTCCTGGTAAACCCTCATCTGTATTAAAAACCCTGGGCTCTAACAGGCACTGGCCTGCTGAGCGTTAAGGGTGGTTGGGTCTGATCAGCTCAGGAGGAAATGCTGTTTAACAGAATGTGGAAAGTCTTTTAACAACTGTTGTTCCTGGATGCTGGGCTGAAGCTCAGAGACATTCAGGGTCAGTGGGAGTGCATGGTGCAGACGACAAGCTCCTCTGGCCCCCTGAGGGGTGTTTACCCTCCCGAGAAATTCCAAAGTCTGAGCAATTGACCCAGCCGAGTGGCATTGCCTAGGACGGTGGCACATAATACTGAGGGGAAAGCACCTTGTGGGAAAGAGAAGGGTCAGAGCCTAAAACCAGGCTTCCCCCAGAGCCCCTGCCCTGCTGGTGGGATGAGAGAGAGATGACCGAGAAGCTACCTTCTGACTGGACAGGTCTTTCTTTAACTGCTCCAGCTCCTCCTGCTGACTCTGGACCTGCAGCTGCATTTCAGAGGCCAGCTTGCTGGCGCCGCCGCTGCCCCATGTCCCCTCGGTTGAAGGGTCACCACTGCTGTGACGATTTTTGTACGATCCAATCATGTCTTTCAAAGGGCGCTTTCCTTTGTAAGGAGCGCGTCCAAAATCAAAGGGAAATCCTGAGCCGGTTGCTCCTACGTAAAAACAAAACTTGTTTTTTAAGTGCAGGCGAAATCCCCTTTTTGGAAACTCTAATAAGACACACCAGCATCTCACCCGTCACCCTGCAAGCAGCCTGCATTCACCTACAGAGATGCCTCTGTCCCCGCCACTCTCTTGATAAAAACCAAGCCTGAATCAGACCTGGTCCCCACCGGACCCTTTCTTACAACACTCACCACACAACCACTTCAAAAGGATCCAATCTCATCTGATTGCTCAATTGCTGCCTTAAGACAGATGAAAAAAGGCAACTCATGAGGAACTAATGACAAAATTGCACTATTGCTCTCCGGAGGTTCTCTGGCAATGCTAAGTTTATTTGCCAAAATCTGTTTTCAGAAGCTCAGTGCTAAATGTCTATGCTCGCATCACCATTTTCACATTTCAGGTACTTTCAGGAACAGAGACACAGACCTGGGGAGGACGTGGCTGCCTCAGCGCCCAGGGCAACCTGGGAATACTCTGCGAGGATGAGCCCATCTATGAAGTTGGAAGGCAGGTTCCCAGAGCAAGACTGAGCCCTACTGGGACCCTTGGCCTCCTAACTTTGCTAATTTGTCCTTAGTCAAAAAAAACAAACAACCCCTCCCCATGTATGTTGTAAACATTATAAATACACGTTTTAAGGCATAACTATACTCTCTTTCTTAAAAATGAGTATTTAAGAATATTGAGGGATCTAAATAAAATTTAGTGTGAATGGATTCAAATATACATACTCAAAATATGAAGGGGAGAGACAAAAGAGTACATACCATACAGATCCCATTTTTATGAAGTTAGAAAACAGGAAAAAGAATCTATGCTGTGAGGAGTGGGGGCAGTGGTTACCCCTGGGGGTGGTGACTGGGAGGGCTGGGGGCAGGGCTGGCTCATGTGGGTGGTGATTGG